AGTCCCGCCCCCGGGCCCGCCCTCGGCCGCTCCGGCCCCGCCCCGGGCCCGAGAGGCGCCGGGTCCGAGCCTACGCATCCCTCCCGGGCCAGAGCCGGGGAAGGGAGGGGGGCGGGTCCTGCTGGGGCTCCCGAGCTCTCAGACACTTAGCTTGGGGCATCTCGCTGGAAGAGAGGCGCCCGCCCCCGCTGGATCTGACTCCGGAGCTCTGTCTCCGCCAGGGGAGTCGCTGAGCCCGGCCAGTTCGAGGTGGCGCTTGGCGCCTCTAAACCCTTCTGGCCACAGGGCTGACTGTGGAACAGTCTCTCTGGCGGTGCAAAGAGCACTGGTCTTGGAGTCAGGGCGAGATGGATGGGGGTTCCACTGAACGCTTGCCAGCCTTAAGCAGTGCCAGGACCCGCTTTCAGGAATTAGCCAGGCAGAGAGCAATTGTAGTATTTGACCTGACCCATACACCCTGCTTGGACACTCCTACAATGACAAATATTTACTGCCCCTCCCCATTTGGCTGGGGACAGGCCACAGCAAAGGATAGAGCCACCCCCTCTGACCCAGGTCTCTGATCTCAAACCTAGGAAATAAACCGGATGAGGAATGCTGGTTAACAGTTAAGCCCAGCTCTGGGCAGGCTGACAGCAAGCAAGCTGCACCTGCCCCAGGCAGGGGGGGAGGGGGGCAGGGAGCAGTGTGAGAAGGGGGAAGTTGACTCCTCCCAGGACCAGGCTTGGGCTAGGGACCTGCCCAGCTCAAGGAGTGTTCTCACCTCCTGGGTGGCTTCCTCTGCAAGAATCTGAGGCTTTAGTTGGAGGCCAGCTGTACCCTGCAGCCCTCACCCTGCTCTGGGCTCATCACATTCCTTGGCATTTGGGGCACTAGGCTCCAGCCCCCAACTGTGACAGCAAGGAGGGCATGTCCAGCTCGTGAGTTCAGTGTGCCTGGGCACAGGTGCAGAGAGGCTAGTGGGAGGTGAAGGGAGACCGTCCAAGGGCACATAGTAAGAAGAGGGCAGAGTTTAGACTCCTTCCATTGGGTTAAGCACTGCCTGCCCAGGAGCGTGTCTGGGGACAGGGTAATGGGCTCTGTGGTTCTCCCCAGGCTGAGCCCCCGGGAAAAAGCAATGTCCTCATCCTCTGACCACCCACTGAACCTCAACCCCTGTTTGTTGCCTGCTTGGGCACCCCCATTGGACCCGTTCCCAGGGCCTTTCTGTCCTAGCTTCTCTTCTTTCCTGGCAACTGCTGGCTGGCCCAGAGACCTCCCCTCCTGCCTCTATAGCCAACATTTGCCTGGGGCCACCTTGGCACCACAGGTTTCCTCTCTGGCAAAACTGCATGACTGCCTTTTCTTTGGGCCAAAGCCCTGTCTCTAAACTGACGTGGTGGTGACAGGGCCAGAGACTTAAGCAGCAGCCACAGAGCCCCAGGGACCTCTCAGACCCCCTGTCCAGAGCTGGCAGCCTGGTAAGACACTCCTCTCCCTCCCCCACATACTCAGGGCTAAAGCTAGAGCTGGGATGGCTCCCAGATCCTGACCATATCCTTCCAGAAGATGAGCCAGGCCTGGACATTGTCACCTGGAATATGAGAAGACTGAGGTGGGGTAAGGGGAAGAAGAGGTGAGCCTCATGTCGTGAAGGAGGCAAACAAGGCAGTGGCATAGGGGCTATGCCCAGAGCTTAGAGTCCTATGGAGCCTACCCCTCACCCCTTACTTCACCCTCTGTGTTCCTGGCTAGGAGATTCCAAGACGACATTTTTCCAGGAAAGGAGGGAGGGTGGTGTCTGGGCCCAGATTCTTAGCTGGGTTTTCCTCAGCCTTCTGTTGGGGGTGGTTAAGTTGAACTGGCTCTTAGGGACTCTTTCTGGCCTAACCTGATTTGGGCAGGAGCCCCCAGGGCCAGAGCTGTAACATTCTCCCTCACTTCATGTGTACTTAACTAACTGCTGTTGGCCCTGTTACCAGAAAGGGAACCTGCCCCTGAACTGACCTGCCTAGGGCTGGCTGGTAGTGTATGGGTTCTTGACTTCATATAGGAAAGATTTCACAAAACGAGTCCAGGTGATTTTTAGAGGACGTTTATTACAGCTGGGAACAGTGAAACAAGGAAGGGCTTAGGATAGAAGCAACCGGAGAGAGACTAGGGGTACTGTTTTGGCTCTCTAGAAATTTTATAGGTAAGAAATGAGCTAAGGTGGGGCTGCTTTAGCTCACTGGAAAGTCAGAGAAAAGGGGGCTTTGTAGATAGTTTCAAGGGCTTAGCCCAGGAAGAGCTGCCAGTGCCCATTTCTCCCCTGGTTGTAAGTCTCCTGGGTTTCCTTAGAGTTTAGGAGATGAATGCCTGTGGGGGAAGAAGAGGGGAAAGGGGAAAGAAGTGTGCTTCTGGGAGAGAGAGCACACACTGGGACCTTGGGAGGCTGGGAGTTAGGGGAGGTCATAGGGGAAGATCAATAGATTAGTCATCAATTTTATGCTGATGTGCCAAGATGAGATTTATTTCCAGAACTTCCTGTCTTCGGGTGTAGTTGGCACAAATGGCACTAATTGGATTTCTGATATCTCTCTTTCAGAGGGTGACTAAAGCTATTTACCGTCTGGTTGGGGAGAAGTGCAGACCATTTACTCTTAAATGTCCTTGGTTAGGGAAGACAGGATTTACTAGGTGGATGTAAACTGCTTGGACGTTTAACTGTTTCCCTATTCCACTTGACCTGGCTTACTAGCCTGTCTCAGCCCCAATCTCTAGAGTTGTCCCGAGTAGCAGAGCTGTGTTTGTAGAGACCTCATGGAGTAGGGGCTATGAATTTCCCCTCTTAGTCCCCAGGGCTGATATGGGGGTTCAGGGGCTTGTAACAGGTCTCTCAGGGCTGTTCTACTCATTGCGAAACCAGTGAGGTAGAGGTTGGGGAACCAGAGAGTCAGGGAGGGAGACCACAGGCCCTCTGGGAGCAATCAGGAAATAAGTAGCAGTGACAGCCACACCTTTGGCTTCCCAAGCCC